CGATCTCCGGTTCTGCGAAGTAGCGGCATTTTGACCAGGATCCCACTATATTTAACCATTGGACAAATGGATGTATAAACAGCAATCAATTTTGACTAAGGGCATATTTTTAACCTCAGATAAAAGTTATTCCTACGATAAAATACAACATAAACATTAAAAATTACCTACGGATTCATGAATAATGTAGATCAATTGTTTCGCTTTTACATTCAACCAGGTTATAATTTATTTGATGGACAACTTTTATCTGACCATTGACAAATTATCCTTCAATAGATGTTTGTTTTTCACTGGCCCAAAAAGTAATAAAATCATATGATTTATGATCCCAATTAAATTGTTATGTAAAACCTTATATAGTTTGTCCTATCACGGTTTTTTGAACGATGTTATCCGAAAAGAATCAATCAATCATTCAATCAATGTCTTTATTCATTAACAATAAATTGTGTACGAATATTACAGCAATGTCCTATTTATATTGCTAAAACTTTACTTGGTTAAAGAAAATAAATTAATTAAATAAACAATAAAATAAATTAAAAAAATATTAATTGAATTAACTAATAAATGTCATTGTACCTTTCTTATCTATATCATTATTCTACCTACTTAACGATTAGTATTCATCACAAATGTTTAATAATATATTATTTACATTATATAATAAAGTTAAAAGAAAGCTAGCAAATGTCAACCTACTCCATAATTTAAAAAATAAAAATAAACTAAACTTAAAAATAAAAAATAAAAAAAATAAACAAACTATTAAATTTCTTATCATTTAAATAAATATTCTGACTACTCTATAGTTAAAATTCATCAACACTAAAAATACATTTCTCTATAAGTAGTGCCTTCAACTCTGTTTTAAAAACACTTAACTTTTTTATTCAAGTCCATCCTTCTGGTGCTTTCTCTCTCTTTCATATCTTCATCACTTTCATAAAAATGTCTGTTTTTAAAAACATCGGTCAGAAGTATCAAAACATACAGGCTGGGTGCTGTAAGAACTTTTAGTTTTTTGAAGTATTCTTTATGTGATTCCCAAGGCGGAATGCATACCATTGCTCTTATAGCTCTTTTCTGGGCAGTAAATGCTTTTATCTTATTATATTTATAGCTTTTGCCCTAGAATTTGATGCTATATCTAGCTAGACTAAACAAGCGCATAGTACACGTCTCTATAAATATTCACTTGGCGACATCTAATCTCAGGGGTACCTCGCGTAGAGCCAAGACGGTATCAGAGATAATTAGGAGGCGTAAGTATGAGTCTCTGAGAAATAATACATATTTGGGTCATTTGCTGTGGAGACTATAGGTCCGTGATATCCATATTTTTTTTTGTAGAATATGGTATTAAATATATTATGGTAGTAAATATTTGTATAATTTAATGTCATTTCATATATATATATATTTTTATACAAGAGCGGGCAAACGAGCATGCGGCTCACCTGACGGTAAGTGACTACCGCCGCCCATGAACAACTGCAACACCAGGAGAATTGCAGATGCGTTGCCGGCACAGATTTAGGGGGTAATCTGTGGTTGCCGGCCTTTTAGAAAGGAGTAAGCTCTTTTCTTGAAGGACCCTAAGTTTTATATAGGTGGTAAATAATTCCACAGAGAAGTTGTACGAGGAAGAAAACTCCTAGTAAAGCGCACAGTGGAGGACCGCCAAGCATCCAGATGGAGAGGATGGTATCGTGAATTTTGATGCGATGTGCGTTCGTGAAATTTGGCGGCTGGAATAATCCGAACAATTTCTCTGGGCACTCCCCGTGGTAGATGCGATAGAAAATGCAAAGGGATGCAACATCCCTACGCAGCGCTAGTGAATCGAGCCGATCAGAAAGAACTCGGTCGTCGACGATTCGAACCGCTCTGAGCTGGATGCGGTCAAGTGGAAGGAGCTGGCACTGGGGTGCCCCGGCCCAGAGATGAGAACAGTATTCCATGTGAGGCCGAACTTGCGCTTTGGAAAGTGGCAGGCGATGTGCCGGCATGAAATACTGTCTCGCTCTGCTGAGCACGCCAAGCTTTTTAGAGGCCAATTTGGCCTTCCCTTCCAAGTGCCTTGAAACTGAGAAGATACGAAAAAATGTATTCGCATACTTGCAAATATTGACTCCATGACAAGTTATAGAAATTACTTTATCAATTATAATATGTTGACATTAACATCCCTATATATATATATATATATATATATATATATATATATATATATATATATATATATATATATATATCTGAAATATGCTCACTAGTTAGAAATAATATCGACTGGTTCCCGCAATATTTTCGCCCTAAAAATTTAAGATCAAGAATAAAATTATCCATAGATAGATACATCAAAATTACAAATCGTAAACACCGGCCATGTCATTAAATGCCATGTCAATAAAAATTTCTAACAAAATTCCAGAACGCTCTAAGAATTGTTTGTAGATGGTTGTAATACTAAAAAATTTTTATTACCGGACCTGCATCTTGAATGATATTATTATTTAAAAAAAATCTATCACCCGAATGAACTACAAATGACGCAGATGATTGTAATACCGTTTATTCCCTTGCAGTCCTCAAAAATCTTCTGATAATTACTAAAAGTTGTAATTTTTCATGAAATATGATAATTTTCGAAAAATCTTGATACTCGTATCAATGCATTCAGCATCGGTTTTAGATAATTGTAATAACACAATTATTTTGCATCTACCATGGGGAGTGCTCTGAGGAATTGTTCGGATTAATCCCAGCCGCCAAATTTCACGAACGCACATCGCGGCAGAACTCCCGATACCATCCACACCATCTGGATGATTGGCGGTCCACCACTGTGCGATTTAGAAGATGTTTTCTTCCTCGCACGACCTCCTTGTGGAATCGATTACCATCAGCGATTTTTCCGGACCGATACGACTTAGGGACCTTCAAGAAAAGAGCGTACTCCTTTTTAAAAGGCCGGCAACGCATCTGTGATTCCCCTGGTGTTGCAGTTGTTCATGGGCGGCGGTAGTCATTTACCATCAGGTGAGCCGCATGCTCGTTTGCCCCCTCTCCTATAAAAAAAAAAAATATTCTATCATAAGTCTTAAATTGTGAAGAAGCATTCTCACTTGCAATTAGTTCATTAAACAACTAGACCTGCAATCAATGAAGGCTATTCGACTAGTTTCAACTATGGCTCCATATTTTATTTTATGTTCAATAACTATTTGTCGTAATAGTTTCCGGTAATGCTGGGGCCACAGTAACGGGAAACGTCAATTCCCATATAGGCAACAATTATTGCCTTAATTTTAACGCGATAAACTGAGTGGCCACACTTGGATAGGTCAGCGTCATTACAATTCATCGCGGCAGAACTTCCGATACCATCCACACCATCTGGATGATTTGGGATCCACCACTGTGCGATTTAGAAGATGTTTTCTTCCTCGCACCACTTCCTTGTGGAATCGATTACCACCAGCGATTTTTCCGGAGAGATACGACTTAGGGACCTTCAACAAAAGAGCCTACTCCTTTTTAAATGGCCGGCAACGCATCTGCAATTCCCCTGGTTCTCCTGGTGTTGTAGTTGTTCATGGGCGGCGGTAGTCGCCATCAGGTGAGCCACATGCTCGTTTGCTCCCTCTCCGATAAAATAAAGCTGGAAGCTAATTTCGATGTTACATTGTTTTCTTTTTTTATCATTTAAATAATTACCTCCACACTAGGATTTTCTATTATTTCGTTATGAAAGTCACAAGGACAAAAACCCAGAACAATTATTTTAAGGGCACACAAATTCTTGTTCCGTGAGGAATTTGAATCCGCGGCCCAATTTTTGCTAAGCCACTGCGCCACGGAGCCGTCAAATTTATCGTTTTTGTTATTGTAATGAATTTTTGATTTCTTTTCTTTGAGGCATGAAGTGGTAGCGTGAAAGAATTCACTTAATCTCTCTAAGCCTAATAATTCTATGTGTTTCACTTGCTATAAACATGGATGCGATTTATATTTTTCAATTACTTCTAATACAAAGTCACGTGGAGACGTAGACATAATAACATATAACTCAATCTGGAGAGTTTTATTTAAGCGTTTCATAGACTCAGCAACAGAGCTCTTATGATCCAGCACATGTGCCACCGTTAATGCCAGAGCACAAACTGCAACCCGAGACAAAAACCACAAAAAAAATTGATGTGGTTTTGCCCACTCACATTTCACTCACAATTCGGACGGCTACCAAATGGCGTGGCGCACGTTTTTGATATTGACAGTCGGCCGCGAAAGACGTCCATTTGGCTTGGATGCATCGATTACAATTCGTTTGGAAATCCAAAACTGGACGACATCCATTCAAATGGCATACGTTTTTCACATTCACGAAAAGATTTTGGAAGACGTTCACTACATTTGGATTAATGGACGTATCATCAATGGGTACCTTAAGTCGTAACTCTGACCATACCACTATCACGCTATTTGTCACACTATTATGTCTTAAACATGTTTCAGACTGTTTAAACCGGTATAAAAGATATTTATTTCATTTTTTGTTGTTAGTCTCTATTATATTCTTTTCTTCATGAATACATACTTTTTAAATAAAAAAATAGCATGCTTATAACCTTGCCATCTAGTGTCACATAGCAAAACTTCATAGACTACTACTGCACATTGTTTATAACTACTGATCTAGTTTCCTAATACCATAATAGATGTCGCTGGTATAAATTTATGATTGTTCTATTCTCAAAATAATTACATAATATAATAGCACAAAATACATAATAGTACATGCACTAATAGTTTAAAGTGCATTTAAATTAAAACAATTATTCTGAATAATATAACGTTTATTTACATTTCAATTTAATATATTAATGTTATACAATTAAATCACATAGCCCATTAGTGACGTGTTATTTTCATAATTAAACAAAATAGAGCCAAATATCACAGAATATATAATTTAAAAATTTAATTTCAATTAATTATTGTTCTTCAGCTTTATCCTCACTAAACTGCGATGAAATCCATGTCAGTGCCCATTTTAGATTTGTTAACATATACTTTAGGGCTTTTGTCCAATGCTCCTCGGAATTAAATTGAATTTTGATAGAATAAGCATGTGGCGGAGATGCAGTATCCTCAATTTTTCCCTTATCTATTCTATATGGTAAACAAAAGCCAGTGTTGCCCTTCTCAACTTGCTCCTTAAATTGTTGTAAGCAATCCAGAAATGCTACCATAGCCGCATCAAATTTGGTGTCCCACAAAAAACGAAATCCACCTGACCCATACAATGGCAACACTTTTTGATCCTCTAACACTTCTATGTATGAATGATTACCGTATGGAACTAAACGATAGCGCTGAAAACAGAAATTAATTTTTCTTGCTAAAGAAGAAAGGAGTAAGACAGTTTGGCCCCAGGCCGCATTGATTTCAGACCAATCTACGGGGGCTGTAGGCAGTCTACCCAATCTAAAGTTATTTATAATTCCAAATTGACCCGAATCCGATATATGGAATGTAGCTTTGAACACATTTGTCTTTTTTAACTTCTCCAGCTGGGACTGAGTATATGAAAGTTGGCATTCATAAAACTTCATTTGGTCTTCTGTAGTCATTAAGTCTTTCCGATACTTTGTGTATTCACGCCAGTAAACGTCTTGTTCTTTTTCCAACCTCTCTTTCTCCTTTTCTTGGACTTCTATTTCTTCTTTCATAGCTCTTTCTTCTTTTTGTAAGGCTGATAGCTCCTGCAATAATCTATCTTGCTCTTGTTTCCAATCTTCTAATTCCTTCTCTAACCCTTCTAAATTTAAATCTTCCTTATCATCCTCTAGCTTCTTTAAATAATCATTGTAGTCTTTCCATTCTGCTTCTGTCAAGCGTAACTGATTGTCCATCAATTCTAGGAGAGTGTCTGTACATTCATCACAAAGTGGGTGATCTACATCGGAGTTATTTGACAACAGATCAAACAATGTAGCTTTCACATGCAATTGATGGCCTAATGATGTTGTTTCCCAACCATCAGAAATCACCATGAATCCATTAGCACCATTGCCTGAAAAAAAAATGATGATTTCTTATAATTATGCATTTACAACATTAATTTAAACTAATTTTACCGATTTCTCTATGTTTATTTTTACTTTTCAATTGCAGACATTCTATGGTCATAGAAGAGGCAGAGAGGATTTGACATCCGAATATCATGTACTCGGGAGCAAATAAATCGAGCCACTTCCAACAAAATATTCATTGTTATATGGTTAATATTTTTGGTAATATGGAACATATCAATTCAAACCATATATCACCTAAAAGTTTATTAAATGAACTTTACAATGAGGGTAAATTATTGAATAATATCCGTATTGAATGATAAATTATAGGCTCTGTAAGAAAAATGGTAATTTTGATAGAACGTTTAGTGGTGTTAAAACAGTCCAGAAAAACAATAAAAAACAAAATTATTGCAAAAAAAAATTCTTAATAATTTCTATCAAAATTACCATTTTTCTTTTAGAGTCAATAATTTATCATTTAATAAGGTTACTTATTATTCAATAATTAACCCATATCGTAAAGGTTATTCAATAAACTTTTAGGCGATATTTGGTACAAATTGATACATTCCATATTACCAAAAATATCAATCATTATATACATGTAAAAAGGAAGTGCCTCGATTTATTTGCTCCAGAGTATCGTTGACCGAGGCTGCCTTCAGTTTTTAAACATATTTTTTGGTAAATAGCCATTGAATAAAAAGACTTGCTATTAGAAAATGTTTGTCTTATTCTCTAGTACTTGTTTTTTAGTTAATAATAATATGTGAACAATGAAAAGTAACGCAACATTAAATTTGAAGAAGTATATGTCATCTTAATTACTTTGTTATTTACGGTATAAATTTACTACCTCTTGTATGCCCTACTCAACACTTAGAAGTCTATACTCTACATTATGTTCACTTTTTTTAGGATTTCGTATCCAAAGGCCGGAGGGCCCTATTACTAAGCCTCCACTGTCCGTCTGTCTGTCTGTCACCTAGCTGTATCTCATGATCAGTAATATGTAGACAGTTGAAATTTTCAAGGAAAATGTATTTCAGTTGCCGCGATATAAAACATATATTAAAAATTTAAATATATAGAAAATTAAAAGGGACACCTCCACTAGAAACATGTATTACAATGGTATGGGATGCTGGTGCGTGAGTCCGACTTGGCACACTTGGCTAGTTATTATTTTATTATGTGTGACTTATTTTAAATTGTATGAATGTAAATGACATGTATTTGTCTTAATGAGTAAATAAAGATCTTTAACCCGAAGTAATAATAATAATAAGTGAAGTGATAACTATATACCATGTAGTGGCAGCATAAGAGAATACACTACTCCATATCATCCTGCAAGTGTTATAAGAGGTGACACAAGGATACTGAAACAGGACTTCTTGATAATAGTTCAAAATAATAAAAAACTGCAGATTTTATCCCCTAGTTTGGCAACTTCCAATGTATTCTGCCAGTGTCAAATATTTCATGAAAGTCACACAGAGTATTGAACAAGTTTCCGTTTCCTTAGACATGCTTACTTAGCTTTATGTTATGAAGTTACATAGGTACTTATTTTCAATTGAATTAAAATATAATAGTTTTACAAAATAATTGCTAATATAATAAAATGAATATAGGTAAGTGGCCAAAGTACTCTAGTTTAATGTTATTATTAATGTATATGATCTCTAATAAAGTTTGTACAAAAGGAATGTGGAGTAAATTTAACAAAGTAGTATTTAACAAATCAAACTGCAGTTGCCAATCCCAACTGCCGAGTATGACAATTATGGCAAATATATCCCCCTATGGGGGAGGCCTATATTAAGCAGTTGACTTTTAATGCGATGTAATGAATAAATTATAAAAAAAAATTAATAAAAAACTTTCAAATACTCATTATTCAAATATTGTTTTAATAGTAACCATATTTCAAACTATTTTATTGTGGTGGAATCATTTTGAAGTTATATTGTAGACGCGGTATGAATGGGTCGGCTTGACTGGAGGAATAAAACATTCTTTTTTTTTATAGGATAGGGTGACAAACAAGCACACAGTCCACCTTATGGTAAGTGGTTGCTGTGAGCGATAAACATCTACATCTATCTTCAATAAAAAATCAAGATGCATTATCACCCTCGAGGAATAAGATGAAATGCCTCTTTTCCAGTAAAAGGGTCTCCGGTTCTCTACACTCACCATACGAAATACAGCAGCATTAAGCTGCCAATCTACGCTGGTGTTCTGTGAGAGCGTGGTCCTTCTCCGGCCGAGCCGACCCATTTGCGCTACAAATATACTACTAATATAGCTACAGCATGGCTCTACCACTTTTAATAATTTCCATTCATTCTTCAAAAATATCAGAGTAATGCTACTATTTTGTATGGTGAGTTGTTGAATAATGAAAACTGGAGTGCTTATTAATTTGGTAATGAGGCATTGCTTCTTAGTTTCCACAGGTGATAAAATATTTTCATTTTGATTCTTAATCGATAACAGGTGTCAGTGTTCATAGACCGCAATATTCTGTTATCATAAGATGTTTCAAAAAATTACCTGATTCAGTCATCCGAAATGGAGGAACATAGTGTTCCAAGCTCGCAGATTGCAAATCCAAGTCAGCTTCATTATTCCTGCGTATTTGCAGTGTTAAATCAGCAATGGTATGCTCGCCTAGGTTATTTAGTGATTCGTCAAGGTTCAAGGGTTGAAGACAACGCTGACACGAAAAATTTACATATGATTTAGAATCGCTCATTGTAATTGTAACATACGTTTACGTCTTTCACTCTTACGTCACCAGTAACATTTAGGATTTCACTTCAGCATTAATATTCTGTAATGTTTAAGCAAATGCAATAACTTTGTAGTATTTCTTATAAATATAGTAATAAAAATAAAGTAACAGAATGAATATGTTATTTGGCGAATGAATATGTTATTTACAAAACAAAACAATCATTCGATTCAACTGTTTGGTTTGCAAATAATACTTTTGACAGTGACAGTGACATGAGACTACGTTTCTTGAATTTTTTACATAAACTTGACTACAGGCCTTCGGCCAAAGGAGAGCTCTATAGAGGATATTTATTTATATTAATTCTCGATCTGTGAAAAAACCATAGACTTAGAATATACTGGCGTATAGACCGACATAGTGTGCAAGGGAGAAGAAAATTCCTTATGGCAAAAATGCAAGATAGAAAAGGATACCAAATGTCATGACTCTGTAACCCATTTTGAATGATAGGTCGGCGCAATTCGGCACGCAATTTTATATGTACGCTACGGATTGACTCAACTATATCAAAATTAATGTCAATATTTATCTTGAATGTTTATAATAAATCGATAGACTTGCCCACACAACAAGAAAATAAATCCTCGGTTTGCGTTCGTTTAGAATAAAAACATTTCATTAAAAGAAGTCATTTCTACATTATTGGTAGAAGTAAGTACGATATTGTTATAATAATAAAACTTTAAAAGTATTGATAAAAAGAGACAGATTTTTGTACATTATAATACTGTAGTATATTTAAGATAAAAAATCTTGAAATTATCCTATTTAAGCCATTATGAACCCAACTATCTATTTATCAACCAAAAAATGTATAACCTTATTTCACCACCCGTACCTCACGGTCACACTAGTAACATAGTTCATTGCATCACGCTATTTTCTCCAAGGGTTTGCGCGGAGCTTCGGAATATATTCCCAAGTCACAATGATAAAACTTTTAACGTAGTTAGATATAATATATTTAGAAATTATCTTGAAGCGCCCGCGCATGAGACGCATGGTTCGATGTGCTAGGATAGTATAAATTCCATAGTATTTGATACTCACAACGCTCGATGCCCGATTCATGCTTTATGGCAGACGACGTTGTGCCGTGGGCTTAAATAGCGTGGTTCATCGCCTACAGAGTTAGTCGTAGAGAAGAGGAACTCGTGGATAAGTTATAGCTGTGCGGATCAATAGATCTACGAGATTAAGTTGCACTTGCTGTGGTCAGTACATGAATGAGTGACCATTTTCATACCATACCGAGATTGAGATAATAGAGAGTGCATCTGTATCGTCAGATACCTGGTGCACTTTACTCTGTTAAGGTCATTATTTTTTTAATTCATGCAGCTAAAATGATAATAAGTTTATCATATTAGCCTTTAAACAGAACAATTTTATTTAACTCATTACTACAAGTATCCTTACTAAAATTAGTTCGTATTTAAGTCGAATGTTAAAATAAACTTCTATAATTTATTTAATTATTAAATGTTTGTAATTATCATAACTCTCCCTGTAAGATCATAACTCGAATGAAGAAAATAAAACTTTCCGATCTGATTCTTGGGGAGTTTTTTTTAAGTTTATCGGTAGAGTCACCTGGGATTTTTTTACATTTGAATTAAAATCCAACAAAACGCAGGTAGGCTCAGCTTATTCCCAGGAACATGCTATATGAACATTTTTTAATTATTTTAGAACTATCATGGTAAAAATCCAGTTAATTTTTGAAGTTATTTAATTTCCTGTACTACACTATTTTTTTATTTTTTTTTATTTCTTCTTCTAAGTAAAATGTACATCACTAGCTAATGCACACAATGACAAATCAAAATTAGTCACGCGTTTTCGGGCTGTCAGGTCGTCTATACGCCAGTACCTATATTCTAAGTCTATGGTAAAAACATTCAATAATGGTAACAAGTACATCCTGGAATCTCTAAGAAATTTAGAAATTGCTTTACCCTACAAGAGTAAGCCGATTACAATTATTATATACCAAGCAACCAAAATCGATAAAAAAACATCGGATAAATTCGATCTTCAATTGTGTTAGCGTTCAATTAGCATTGGATATCTACTTGGAGTAATTAAATACATATATCGATATATAACTCAAAAATATTTTAAACCTTACGCGTTAAGGGCGCATTACAACACCTGTGCAAATTAATAATTACGTAGACGATGATAGATACTTACCGAGTTTATATACATGATTATTTTTCAAAGACCAGAAATTTTAATAATTTATTTCAAAATATAAATACTGATATACACTTTTTGCCGCATTTAAAAATACGCGTATATAAGGTTTCTACATTTATTTGAAAACATCCCAAATTGAATGGGATTTATGGGCAATAACGACACGCGCTCGTGTGTGTACGAGTCAATGCACGAAGGTTTTGCCTACTATTCACTTCCTTAATGACACGCTCGCTAGTAAGTTGATAACTACGAAGCTAATTATGATTCCAATTTTCCCTTCATACCTTAAACGAGATTAGGAGCTTAGGACCGTCATGATAAATAAAATTTAAAAAAATATATTTCATCGACGACTTGAATAAATGCTATGCAAATTAAAAGTTCTGCACACCTCGAATTAAATAATATTTTTACTCCCACACAAAAGACTTTAGACTACAGAGCGTTTAATTTGTTAATTTAAAGAATTAGTTGTAGAAAAGATAGTTGAGATGGAAGGCCAATGATAGGTTGGCGTGATTTATGTAACGGTTACTTAGGCGGCGCGAGCGTAACGTCTAGCCAAGGAGGTTATAATATAATATAGGGAGTGAGCGCTTAGAACATTGTAACCGTTCCTCATTTTTCTTAGAAAGAGAGGCACCGAGTTTGGTATTTTATCTCCTTCTAACATTGATAAATGCTTACACAAAATAAAAACATTATCAAAGTTTAGACAGTTATTGACTTAAAGTAATATTTGAGACGTATGCTAGAACGATAATCTTACATTTTTTATCGTTAATCATAGTTGGTATATTCCATATTGTATTTTAATTAAGCTTATTATTAAGTAACACGAGGAAAAAACCACTAAAACACTTTAATGTATGAAATTTATGACTCCAAATGTCAAACAATTAAATTCTATTGTAATTTTAAACGGAGAGAAACTGAGTCTTGTAGGTACCACCATTTTTCTTGGAATCACATTATATGCCAAGCTTCAATGGAGCCCACATATATCAAAATTATCAAGCAGACTTAGCTCTGCAGCATATGCTGTGAAAAAGTTTAGAAGTCTTACCAGTGTTGAAACAGCTAGACTAGTTTACTTTGGCTATTTGCATATTAATGTCGTATGGTATTTTGCTATGGGGACACGCAGCTGACACTGAAATTATATTTGTTTTAGAGAAGAGAGCCATAAGAGCAATTTATGATTTAAAGCCTAAAGAGTCGCTGCGACAAAAATTTAAGAAAATTAATATATTAACTTTGGCCTCTCAATACATTTATGAAAATGTAATGTACGTACACAAAAATTAAAGTAGTTTTACAAAAATAAGTGATATTAGAACAAACACAAGCTAGTAGTACGTGTTACTCGACTCCATCGAGTCAGTAATTCATTCTTTGGGCGATGTATACGCTTTTACAACAAAATTCCAGAAAATATACAAAATTTGACCTGCTCAAAATTCAAAAACTTTAATAAACTAAATTTGTATGAAAAGGGTTATTATAATATTAACCGATTCGTTGCAGCACCGATTTTCGACAACTTTTAGCTGTGGCGGCGAACAAATATTTCATGACACGCCAGGCGTCACAGAAGTTGATGACACGCCTATTGTGCCATCAGCCATGTGTAAAAGTAATTTTCTTTTTTAAGCTTTTTTCACTTGTTTAGACCTAATTAAGTTTAGTTGACATCAAGCATCAGTTACAAATGGAAGGATACTTGTTTTTCGTTAGTAACTACGTGTTTTCTTTGAAATTGAGAGTAAGTGACTATTTTATGCAGAGATTACGAACCTTTTGTACTATTTTGTGTTTTATAAAAAAAAAAACATTTATATAAGTATGTTTTTATTAAATTAAACTTTCACCTAATAATAACATTTGTAAATATCAAACAATCAAGAACCTTAATTAGGAAAAAAATAAGGTTTATGATTAATTGATTTACAAATGTTAAATATTATTTAATGTTATACAAATGTAAAAGTAAAAAAACTGAAAACGTCTAATTAGTAAGAATAGCAAAACAAGTGTTTTAAAAAGGAAAAAAACGCTGGCGCTATACAGCGGCGGATTGACAAAAGACTATTTATTAGTGAACTTTTATGTATAAACGGTTTCGAACAGTTCAAACAAAAATAAACCTTATACCATATCACAAGAGCACATGGTATTTCGTAGGTCTATTCGGCCATATGATAGTAATAAGACAGCAGCTCCACCATTTTCAGCACAATAAGACAAACGCATTGTTTTTTTTTTAACAGGAAGCTTGTTTTGCAGTAATTTATTTACAAATTGAGTTTGTGAGCGATCGCAATGAGTGCTATTATTTGTTACTTATTAGACTTTTTTTCCACAACATGATTTAAAACTCACAAAGTAAAAAGAGTACCAAGTACAAGTTAAAAAAAGGTTGACATCCCCTAAAAATTTAAAATTTTCAAAATATTCAGAAACGAAGCCGTAAGCGTGAACTACTTTCAAAATAATGAATATTTTGTTCTGGATAAATTTTTCAAAAACGCAATTTGAGCGAGTTATAACGATTTTTAAAAAAGACACGACTCGCGTGTCATACGTCACGCCTGGCGTGCCATCCGCACTGATCCGGTTAAAGAATTTATGGATGATAATAACCCCTGGAAATGAGGTGATCGCTACCAAGCTATTTCTAATTTGTTGTGTTGTTAATTTAACATACATGATTGTAACCTGTTATTTAAAAAAAAAGTTCCGCCTGGTTT